AATATCATCACATTTTGTCTGTGGAACATACACATTTTGTGCACCTTCCCTGACAAACTAGTCAGAAGTTCATTAAAAAAATAACATTGGATGCAAACTTACAAACTGAGATGCAGTGAAAGAACATTGCATTTTTATAACTAAGCCTTTTATGCTTTTTAAAAGTAGGAAGTGAAAACCAGAGGAAATTCTGGATGGATTCCACATCACAGCAGGCATTCCAGAAGAAGTCTGGTTACCTACCAATACCAGATGTAATGATGCAATACTTTCAGTCAGAGGAGTGTGAGAACACAGACAACTAAGCAGAGTCACACTTATAAGTTAGATTTCTAAAAATATAGAGAACTAGGGCAGGTAAAATACAATTACAGTAGCTTCACCTAGAGAAGAAATGCCCTGCTGGATTCTTTGAGAAGTGTATGGAAGTGGAAATGTCAACTCAGAAATCATCACGAGAAAGTTATCCTCAAGGTTATGATCCCTATGATGACATGTTCTCATCAACAAAAAAAGGATCCTAGAATTATCTAAGTATGCAACTGATCAATTTTTTTTATACAGCTGGATTTTAAAGAAAACTAATGTAGCAAGATAAATTTGCCTTTTAAATAATTAAGCTGCATGTTGGCAATACAGAAATAGTTACAGTAGCATGTTTACCATTTTCACCAGCACTAAAATCCCTCAAATATATATTTCTGAAGTCTTAAAGCAAACCACTCCAAGTGTATCCTGCAGACAGAGATACTGCAAAGGCATAAAGGTCACCCTAACTGCAGAGTTTCTTTTCAATAAAGTTTTCCTTTATTAATGCTGTCTATTATGACTCTGGTGGGCTTTGGATCAAATCCCATTCTAGCCACAGTAACTTCACTGGAAAAACAAACAAAAAATCCCAAAAGCAAAGAGACTTCATAAAATTTTGATGACAGAAATTAATATATTTGTGTCAGAAGATTTATACTGGTACTCTACCCCAGAATCAGATTATGTATTACTTATTATTAATTTCTAGGGTTAGGCAATGCTATCATGTCACTGCCATGCCATAAATGCTGCTTCAAAATCAGCAGTGCAACTATTAATCTATATGGCGCATAGTACAATAAACTAGGAAACCACACATAAATTGCAGCATCAGTTTAGAATGGATGTTTGTCCAAAAATTAACAAAGTGTTGGGCAGACTGCATTTTATCAACACCTCTAAAATGTTCTCATTTTTCTCATCATTATCTTACCTGATAAGCCTAAGGAAGTTCAATATGAAAGCTAAGTGATGTGAAATGTTTGAGTGAAACCTTAGAAGTGTTTGTAACAATTGTAAAAACAGGAATTAGTTATCAGCTCTCACAACACATGGTATCATCCATATTTCCCTGAGAAATCATACCCTGCAATAACCAAGTAAATACAGCATTAATGCAATTCTGGACTAGACAAAAACAAAAAATCATGCATAATGACTGTTTATGAGGCAACACTTAAATGCTACTGCAGTTCTAAGTATTGTATTGCAGACATAAGGCAGTCATAACAGAAATGGTAACTAACTCAAAACTTTATCCCAAATAAATAAAACTGATTAAAAGTACCATCCTATACTTAACCATATAACTCACCATTGTGATATGAACATTAGTTTCTGTTTCTTCATTCTTCAGTATGCCACTTCTTAACTTCCTTCACAGGCACAGAAAAATATTGTGCCTTACTGAGGCAAATTTTCATATGGAATTTGGAAGTGTGTCCATAAACTAACCCTACATCTAAAATTTAACTGTTTTCCCCTCTCCTCCCATAGCGTAGTTTAGCTCAGTAACATAATATCCCCAAAACAGCAGGATCTTTGTAGGCAACAGGAATTCAAGACAGAGATGGAACAAAGAAATGGTTTTACCACCATATTTAAAGCAGTCATAGTTGTGAACAGCAGTACCTAGGCAGAACAGGGATCATGAAAGAGAATGATAATTTCAACAGCTCACAAGAAAAAACAGTAATTTGCAGACTCTCCTGTGTTTCTAGCACATTACAAGGAGGTATGCAATGCACACACCAGCACACCAGGTCAAGTATCTATCGTTTGTCACTTTAAGAACACCCCTGCTTAACACCGTATTTCCATAAAATGGTGTTAGCAGTTGTACCACCACATTGAGATGACCAGGCAGTACCTTAGCCTCCCTGCTTCCAAGTTTCAGTGTGCAGGCCTCTCCAGCCTAACTCCATGACAAGCCAAATCAGTTATATACTATAGCTCCTGCCCCTCTATATGGATTTTTACAGGCAAAAAGCCAACAAGCAAAGTGCAGTGCACACTGGACAACAGAAACATTGGGCCATCAGTGTCTTCAGTGGCACTCATGTGCCCCATAATTTCCAAATAATTCTTGAATACTGATGTTGCCTGTATTTCAGTCCTTTGCTGAATTTGTATTACATCTACTGCAGCACCCTGTAGTAAGCACATTTTTCAGCATGACTGAGACCTAACCAAAAGTAGCTAGAAAAACCAGAATCCTTTCTACCCCATTGTCCTGGAGCACAGTACATAGTACCTCTAGCTATGCAAGAACTGCCAAAACCCTAAAAGCAAAGGCATACTTACATGGTGTTTGGCAAATTATCATAATTTCCCCCAAATATGAAATACAAACAGCTCAAAAACCTCAATCACACACAGAAGAAATTGTTGGTTGTCTCCTAGGATTACAGGAATTAGTTCAGCTGTTTGACAGAGCAAGTCATGTAGCATTCATTTTCCATTTTGTAGGCATGGAAAATAACTGTTCTTTAAGCATCTAATGACATTCAAAGAAATGCTTGAGATAAAAATTTCATTCTTTTTAAGTGTGTGTGCTTCCTAGAAGAAATAAATCAGGATATAGACATTCCCAAATTGAAACTGTAAGAGCAAAGACAATTTATGCTAGCACATAGAGGCTAGAGCGTTTATGAGAGAGCTCCTTCACATTCCAGTTGTGTCATGAGGAAGAAAAAAGAAACCCAGCATGTCTCCATTACTTCAGAGGTACCTGAGAATCAAAGCTAAACCTCTTGTGCATTTACCAAGCACCCATTAGAGAGCTACACAATTTACATTTCAAATCCGACATTATAAAATATTATTGTACTAAAAATCACAAGATTTTATAGAAAAAAACTTCCATCACATTCTATTAAATGCAGGAACAACGTTACATGTCATAGCTTCTGTAATTAGAACTAACACATTTCTTGTAACTACAAGGGGCACCGCTGTTTAAAAATCACTGCCAGAAGGACAGTTTGCTTTGTTTAATTTTAGAATACTGTACTTTAATGCAAAAAGATTGCTCAAGCTACCTAGTGCCAGAAGATTAAAATATTTAAGTATCTTTAAAAACAAAAAAAGGTTATTAACACATTTTTGTTAGAAACAAAAACAGTGGGAAGGCCCTACCTTTGAGTGTACTCAACAAAAATGTTCCACGTTCCTGGTGTCAGAGACAGAACAATATTATCCTAGTTCTTATTTTCTTAACCTCTCAAACTAATGAATAATTTAACAAAAGTCACCTATACGGGAGACTGATGATCTTTTTACTTTAAGCCACAAACACAAGAACACACAAACAGCAACTGCCCATTATACATTAGAGCTCATATTCTACCCGTATGACTAATTTAAGGTATTGGATTATTTTGCTAAAAATACCATAATTCCCACCTGAAAGCAAACTCAGTCTTCCCAGGCCACAAATCTCAACTGATTCAAATTTGTAATTAATGCCTGGTATTCTATATATTTAGTATTATCTCATTGAAACATATAATTAATTTAAAACAGACCTCAGCTTTTTATTGCCAGTAAGCCTTAACATTATTTCTTGGAAAAAAGTTGACCCTAACATCCTCTGCCATAATTTAGAAAAAAAAAAAAAGTTTAAATAAACACCAACTAAGGAATCTCTGCTTACCAAAGAAATAACTGAAAATTCTATCAAAGTCAAATGCAAAATTATTTCTACATACTGCATTTTCAACCCCTTTACTTGTCAGGTTTGGGAATCAAAATGAGAAGTTTCTCAAAAGGCAGTGAGGGGATTTTTGTTTGGTTTAGATTTGTGGTTTTGTTGTATTTGTTTGCTTTTTTAAATTCCTATTTCAGGTGTCCAAAGGACTTACTATCTCATCTTAGAGAGATGCCTCAAATCACTGAAACTTGTGGTGTAATCCAGTATTACAAGTTGGAAGGCATAATTGATAAAGGTGCAATATTTGACCAGAAAAGTCCCCAGGTTCTCTTTTTCTTCTCTACTACAGATTTTTACATTACATTCTAGCTGCTGCCTAATCAATCCTTCTAAATATATATTTAAGCATGTTGCTTTCCTGTATCTCCTCTTATCTAGTATATGTATCCCCACACTACCAAAATTCTTTTGGAAAGTTCATTACTGAGTGTCAAAACATGAAAAGGTGTTTGTGTTTTGTCATCTGTCTGTATTTGTGTGGAAGGATAGTAGAGGCAGCCTACATTATTAATAATCTTCTTATAGGAAGAGAATCTCATCTGAAAATCCATCCTATATTCATTATTAAAAAATAAAATCCATCAAAAGCCAAAATTAACTATATAAGTGTCTTATAGGCCAGAAGGTGAAAACCAGCACTGACTAATTTCAAATATTCCTGAATATAATTACTCATAACTTTTCAGAATCAAACAGAGAAGCGCTGCAGAGGATGGAAGATCAAGGTTGCAAGGAAATTTAACAATTTTAGAATAAATATATTAATGCAACTGGAAAAAAAAAAAATCTATGCAAACACCTTTAGCTTTCAGATTGTTTAGCAGATTATTGCAGTGCCAACCCACTGACTGAAAACTATATTTTTTTCCATCTGAGATAATCTGGAATAAGAACGGGTTACAGAATCAGTCTCATTAAAACCACCACAGATTTTGAGAATATACACCCAAATGTACTGCAATTAGGAATATTTTACCAGTCACTAAAATTTTAAACAGTCCAGATTGTTACGTAACAAAATTTTTAAACATCGGCACCCATTGCCATTACAAGGTTTCTCAAAATGGGATAAAACAATATATATGTAGTGTTCCAGGACTGTAAAAAGATCCTGCCTCAATAATTACAAGAATTCACTTAATAAATTATTTTTCTATTTTCTTCTATTAATATGCAAATAGTTTATACAACATAAAAAAGTTAATTTGTACCTACTACAGGTAACATATCTATTTACCTTTTCATCTGAAAGCCTATAAGACTTGATGATCTGCAAGCTTATTTACATAACTCATTTGAAAGTATTTTTTAAAAAATATTGTCCAGCATTTAACAAAATTGTGATTTAAAAAAAAAAGAAAGAAATCACTTAACAGCATTTGTTTTCTTGATTTTGTCAAGTAACTTCATCAGCTCAGTGTTATAAGGCAGGCTGGTTGTTCATATGGAATAAGACTCCCTATGGTGATAGGCATGTAGCAAATTTGTTCATTTATAAAACCAGATGAAAGCAAGAAAGAGTTTAGAGTTTCAAAAGAACTGAAACTTCTTAATTTTACTACAAATTCAGAATAGGCACTGAAACACGATTCCTTAGGGACTTTTCCAGAAGATTGTCTCTTCGCTGGGCATCATTCCATTTTATAACTAAGAAGAAAAAAAAAATAATCTTGACTACACAATTAAAGATTACAGAAAAGGAGTCACCATATGTATTTGTTTCCATCTTATTAATAAAGGAAATAACCTGTGTGTTTTAATTTTAAGACATCACAATGTCTGTTCTGATTACAATATTTTTAATTTCCTTATTAGATTTAAGCAACATTGGAAAAACAAAACTATACTTCTCATCATGTAATTCTGGTTACTTGAAAACTAGAGCCCTGAAGCACAGGCCTAAGAGAGTTCTAAAATATGTCTATCTTTCTGCTCCAGGACAGTATCTACAAACCATGTGAAGTTCCTGTTAAGAGTTTGTGTAACCTCCTCTTAGACAGGAGTATTTTGCAAACTCCGTAGCTATTCTACTCCAGCTTCCCTATCTTTATAATCAGAAATATTTTCCCTAATACTTATTGCAATTTAACAACTTAATTCTTGTCAACCACAGGGACTTCTTCCCATTTTCTAGACCCATAGTGATAAATTCTGGTCATGTCCTCTGAACTTCCTTAAACAGTTTGTCATGAACTGCAGTAGCCCAAACTCAGACCTTGACAGCATTAACAAGAGCTAAATAATTACTTCCTATCTCTTCCACACACATCATGCATACGAAGAAGTTTTATGCCTCTTCTGCATCATTGACTCATGTCCTTTTTTTTTTTTTTAATGAATGTTGTAATACTCTTTAAGTAAAAAAACTACTTTACATTTCAAAACCATTGATCACAAACTGTAGCAAGGTGAGAACAATGCTTGGCAACAAACAATAATTTTGAAGATAACCTTCAAAACTCTTTAGAAATGCAACAAATCCTCACCTTTCTCTGTGTTGCTTGAAGTTTATTAAGCATACCTTTTATCTATGAACAACTGTCTCCATCTTGTGAAACACTGTGCATAGGAATGAGACTTTCACACTGCTCACTTTCTTCTGGCATTCTTAAAAAGAAAAACGTTAGTTATTTGAAGTTATACTACATCAGTTGTATGAAGCCAACACGAGTACTAAGTAAGCTAGTGGTTTGAACTGCAGCCATTAAAAATACACAAAGACCCTTTAATTCCATAAATTATACTCAGCTTTGCACAGTTTTCGCTGCATGTTCTGGATAAAACAACTATTATGGAGACATAAAGGGAAAAAAACAGAAGACTGTGACAGGTACTAGAAAACTTATTTTAAAAGGTAAACAGACTTCACATCTTTCCATTTTCTGAGCATGACATTGGTTAATAAACAGCTTGGCAACTACCACTATTGAGAAATTAGTACACCTGAATATACAATTACATTAAAATACATAGAGCATTAGTACTGTGATATATAAAAGTGTAAAGGATATTGAAAAGGTTAAAGAAGAGATAGGACTATATTTGGTGGCTGTCCTACCTCTGAATGCGATGTTTTCTACAAATAAAGGCAAAAATTCTTCTGATTCCCACCATCACTGGATCCCAGTTGTTGTAATGACATAAGAGAGTTGCAATGAAAAAGGAAAAAAATACAGGGACTGCCCCTGCAAAAAATAACCAGGAAAACTGCACCTGGAATTAAAACACAAGCATAATTCACTCAAATGGAAAAAAAAATAAACTGATATACTGTCCAATTATTACTGTAACTTTGAGATGAAGTCACGGAATCACAGAATGGTTGGGGTTGGAAGGGACCTCTGCAGATCACCTAGTCCAGCACCCTGCTAGAGCAGATCACCTAGGAACACATCCAGACGTATTTGGAATGTCTCCAGAGGAGACACCACACCCTCTCTGGGCAGCCTGTCCCAGTGCTGTGTTACTCGCATGGTAAACATGTTTTTCCTTATGATTAGCTTGAACCTCCTGTGCTCCAGCTTGTGCTCATTGCCCCTTGTCCTGTCACTGGACGCTGTGGAAATGAGACTGGACCCTCTGAAATACATCAGCAGAACCATGCCTGATCTCACCTGAAAGATGTGTGCACATCTTTATTCGTCTATGAATATGCCATCACTGAGTGGTAGCTGCCAAAATCAAAGCACACAGAAAGACTGTATTTCATTTAAAAACAGCAGAGCACATTATTTGCCCAATTTAAACTAAACTTTACTGATATTTGTATCTATCTACTACTACACTCAAAAGTGATAATCTGAGACTGTTTAAAACTTAAAATTACAGAAAGTTAGAGAAATCAAGGATGCTAGAGTCTCAAAACACCGTTCAAGCTCACAGATCAATGAGACATAAGCACGGCTCCCTCTTGTGGGGAAAATTTCCAAAGTTGAAGACTGGAGGAAAAAGGTAGTTTTGATACCTAGCACTGATGCTCTCAAAAATTGAATACACCACTGTTTTTAAAACCCTATGTTATCCTTATTGATTTTTAACAGAAATTAAAAAATGCCAAGGTTACCAAAACGAATATTTAAATAGTTGTTAACAATTTTGTTGCAATTTCTCCAGATTCAGATTTATGCCAGATTACAGAATCATACAGACCCAGAAAGTTAGTAATTATACATACTGTACACTTGCCATTTAACAGTCATATGAAGACTGTGTGTACTCATAGTTTAATCTTTTCATTATTAGCCATGTCAGTGGCATTTTTCCATAGGTTCCTTTTAAGACAACTGAAATGTGGTGGGTAGACAAGGCTGGCCAGAAGTACTAACTGGAAAGCTAAGCAACCCCAAGCTCTTACTATGTCAGTATATGTAACTATATATATATATATATATATATATATACACACACACACATCTCTAGAAGTGTATTTGCACACATATATGTATATAAATATGTAGAAGCACAAATATATACCAGTTTTAGCTCACATTAAAACCTAATTCCACCTCACTGAAGTGAATCTTTGGGAGATAAATCTATGTATATTTTTTCCTCATTTCCTTAATAGTTATCATTAGTTATTTACTTTCCTGTTAAAATGTATGTCCCAAGTGAATATCACAGATACATTAACAGCAAGAAACAGCTATCTTACAGATGAATTCTTCATTATTGTCAGAATCACTCCAAGGTTTTGCTGCACTTTCAATGTTGGAATACTCAGCTAATATTGATGTGAAGCATACTGTACATCACATGCTCATTACACAAGTATTTATTCTGATTCTGACTCTCCTTTTATTTGCCAATTTGACTTTCCTATTTTTATCCTTTTATTTTTCTGCTTTATTTTCCAAAATTCACATTGACATTAAATGAAAACAAAATGCTGTCAGAAAACTTCAGAAGTCAAAAGGTTCTCGCTAGAATTTACACTTGTAACAACAATGAGCTGTAAAGCTTCTTTTTGGTGAGAAACATTAAGTGCAAGATTGACTAATTTCTTGTATGTAAGTCAGTCTTGTACAAACAAATACAAGCCTCAGAAGAAAAAAATTCAAATGTTGTGACTGAAAACAACTCATAAATTGAACTTTCACAGATAATGCACTAACACCACTTTCTTCAGGGAAGCCACTAATTACAGAATACTGAATTTAAGCTATGTTCCAGGCATAGCCCAAATTTTTCTCTTCTCACACTTTCTCATTTCTACTTGCACAGAACTTACAAATTTAGCATAGCTGCATTTGCTACAAGAGTCAAAAGAACACAGCAGTGTAAACAAGCAGCAGCTGGCAGAGCAAGACCACCAGTCTATTCAAAATTTCAGAGGTAGTGTTCTATATTTAGTTATAAGTTTAGTCAATTTTGCCCATTTTTATTGATAAAAATTTTCAGCTGAACTATTACATGACTAAACTGCTTCCTAATTCACATAAAGATTTATCATCTCAGCAAAGAATTCCTTGTATTCCAGTAACAAACTGCTTTTAGGCCAAGGTGCTCAAATGCTGACTAATTCACAATTTGCAGCCCAGAAAAATACATTACCTGACACATAGTTTTACTCCTTGCTTTCTGGAAACTCTTGCAGCATCTCAGTAACACATACATATACACACTTAACATCAGTGAAACACAGGTGTCAACAGGGGTCAAAGTGCACATAAGCATGGGATAGGAATGCTCACACTTTAGCCCAGTGAGAAATATACCTGTGTCTACCCTGAGAGGTGTAAAAAATCATAGACATAATGAACTATTTGGATCTGCCCTGCCAAAACCAAAGGGCATTAACAAACTGAAAAATTAAGCTTGCTTTAACAACAGATGCATTATAAAACCTAGATGAAAGCTATTTCAATAAGTTAATTTCAAAGTTAAACCACCTGTTTAAAATGTAAACAGTAGGGATTATTTAAATCCAAAATAAAAAGCATGATCCTGTCTTCAGGAAGGAGTTGTGTGACCTACATTTAAAGGAAAAAACAAAAACACAAAGCACCCATTATCTGCATGCTTGCAGTGTATGCTAAATCATAATTATTCACATGAAATTAAGAATTTTATATTCCTTGCAGCTGATTAAATATTAAATTAAAATAGTCAAAGAGTGGAAGTTCATACATAATGAAATATTTAAAACTGAGAATTCTACTCTATTAGCATGAAAAGTATCTATACAGTTTGAAGAGTAAAATAACTAACTTCATATAGTTTCTATTCTAGACTATTATCAGATTCCTTCCTTTCTTTACATGCAGGGTTTTGCCACTGCTATTACCTCAAAACCAGTGGAACTAGACTAACTCAAAGAACACCTAAATGGAAGCCTAATATCCACATGGATCCAATAAAATGCAGTTGAGACCTGTAGCTGCTGCATTCCTCTGTGGTAAACCTATAGATTTTTGGTTTTGTCACTAATTGAGTATTTTTCAAGATAGGCAGTCTGTAATAATTCTATACCTGTAAAGATATTAATTTAATGTGTGCTGTACTTGCAGTTGTTCTTTAATTATGAAAAGTGCTTGTTTCAAGGTAAAGCATTTGGCCAGGCATGGCTGATGACTTGGGTACTTTTCATACAAGCTGCATCTTAATCAGGTATATTTAAGTGTGCAAGTACATGTTTGCAAGGGCAAAATTACTGTAACTGTCAATATCAAGAGAATATTCATGATAATGCAATTCAAAAAATTATTGACAAGTCAGAGAACTAAAATGCTGTTTGTTGCATACGTTGCTAAAAATAACAATACCATTTAATTCAAAGAAATTGTGTTAATAATGCTCAAAACTTACTAGTACATTACCTTTTGCATGCACATGTCAGCTATTATGGACAGAGGTATCGTAAGGCTTAGTGCCAGTGTGCCTATCAGTGATGAGGTAAGAAAGCAGCCCCTAAAAATAATTTAAAAAATAATTATTATTACTATTATTTATAATAAGAACAAAGAGGTCTTATTGAGAAGTTAAAAGACAACAAAGTGCAGAAGACATTTGATCAAGCTTAACTGTTAGTTATTGTTTGTTTTAATAACAAACAATTGAGATATCTGCATTTCACCGATGTCTTCTGGAGTGAGGATTAATTCCCATACAAACCTTCTGTTATGATGGAAAATTCACTACTTCACATATACTGATTTCACCTAGAAAAAGCTGCATTTTGTTTCCATCTTAAAATAGTTTAATATCAGCTCATAGGAATAAAATCTGTTTGCCCCAGTCTGGTTAATTAAAAAAGAAATGTTACTGATGCCTAGAAACCCTACCCAAAAAGAGAAATGTTTTCTTAGAAACAGACAAATTCTTAAATTAAACAGTCTGTGTTTTTTAAATCTCATTCTAAAATGCAGCCTTGAAGTCATTATATGCAGTCTCAGTGAGACTTCACTGTATTCTACAAGTGGTCTCATCCTAAGCGAGAACAAGGCTGTTAGACTTCTCTACATTCACGAGTCACAAAAAGCCATTACAATTTATTTAAATAACAGAGTAACAAAACGATATGCATGTCGCACTACTCATGAACAGCCGCAGAAAACCAGCCCTTTTTTCCAAATACCTTTGCAACTCATCCTTAGTTTACAAATAACAGATTTACTGAATGACATTTAAAAAAACAAAAGAGAACCTCAAATAACTGTAGGGCAGATCCAAGATAACATGTGAGCTCTTGCCATCTTTGGCATGTCAATATAAATCTAAGGCTCTCAATAAAACATGACTAGCTTGAGCCAAGTGAAGAGCATAACATCCAACATAAAAAAACCCTGCAATTCCTGTTTTATCACTGACCAAGTCAAAAGTTATCAGTCATAGAGAGGCTTGTTTGTAAATACTCTAAGAAATAGCCTCTTCTACCATATGAAGAAAATACATACAAGGGGATATCTACCTAATTTGCAGCAGTAATGCCCACTACTGAGACAGCCTCTTACTTCAAAGCCATCCAGAATTTTATTTATTGTGAGTAAAAGTGAAATACAAAGCATGCAGTACATACCACAGCCAGAGGAACTCTGACAGAACTGTTCCGATAAGGCCATTAATGACAATGCACATCCATATCAGTTTATTGGGAAACTCAAATGCTTCAAACCCCGTATAGTGAAGCAGGAAAAACCCTGGCCACAGCAGCAACAGATTAAACAGCCCTACGAAACCTAAATATAAAAACAGTATGAAGTAAATCACCAATATCCTTCATTATCCTTTAGTAATTATCCATTACTAAAATCTCAGCTGAACTGCTGTTTTGACAACATGCATACATAAAAGCAGCAACAAAGCAATACTGTAACTCTTTCAAAGGAAAGAAAGAAGAGCCTTTACCTGAAAGTCACAAACAATTACACCAGATATTTACAGGTTAAAAAAATAATAATTAAAAATTCCATTGAGTCCAAAGGAACCATCTGCATCCCTACAGGTAATGTTATCTCTCATTGTTAAGACTGTAAATTCACATAACCAGTCTCTAAAGTACTCATAACCAAGGGAACAATAGACTTTCTCTACTTCCTTGGCTTTCCTAAGCCCTTTTACCACTCATACACAGTTCAGTGCCTGAAAGCAAACAATTTAATCACAGACTGAATCAAAACTTTCAATAATTAGCCTTACCAAAGAACATTGGTATGTCAAGTTTATCTTCTCTATCTACTTTCCTTTTTATCATTACTATGTACACAGCATACAGCATTGCTCCTACAAGAGACCAAAGGGAACCTGTAAAGATGAAAAAACATCAACTTAAGTCATGCCAAACATGTTATGCACACTAGGATCAACTATCCTAAACATACATCTATTGTAAAACTGTCAGGGATAAGTAATTTATTACCAAAACCATTACTATATGAAAAGTAAGGAAAAATGCAGTGTGCTGGTTTGGTGGGGTTTTTTCATAGTGGGGGAGAGGTCCGTGGGGTGGCTCAGGTAAGAAGCTGAAAAAGCTCCCCCAGCTCCAAAACCAGGAAGTCAAGGAGCCATTAGACAGACAATGGATGTGCCTCCATAATTAACATATGAACGAACTGCTGTAAGAGCTGAGCAGAAAGCAAGCCAGAGAAAAGAGCTGTGCTGGAGAAGTGAAAGCAGTGCCAGGGTAGAGATCCTGAGGCTGGTAAAGAAGAAGGGGAAGAAGGTGCCTGAGTTTAAGTTCCCTTGAGATGGCAGGCAATCACGGTAGAATGTCCCCTGAAAGTGCCAGGAGGGACGAACGTGGATTTGCAGCCCATGGACTTGAACTGCAGCCATGGAGGACCCTGCTCCAAGGGAAGTGACTGTTCCTGAAGCAGCCCGTGACTCTGTGGGAAGCCTACGCTGAAGCAGTTTGCTCCCGACCTCGTGGCAAGAACTCTGGAGAGATTTGTGAAGGACTCTCTCCCATGGGAGGGACCCCGCACAGAAACAGGCGAGGACTGTAAGGAATCCTTCCTGACAACGAGTGGTAGGAACCACCAGACTGTGAACTGACTAAACACCATCCCCTGTCCCCCTGTGCCGCTCGGGGGAAGGAGGCAGAGAAATTTGGAACAAAGTGATTTGGACCCAGGAAGAAGGGAGGGGTGGGAGCAAGGTATGTAAGCACTGCCCTTTGTGTTGTCTATGTCTTGTGTGCATTTGATTAGTGTTAAATTAATTTGTAATTCTTTTTCCCCAAGATGAGTCAGTTTTGCCCATGACCTTGATCGGTGAAGAACCCTCTTTGCCCTTTGTTTCGACCCACGAGCTTCTAGTTGGCCTTTGCACTCTCCACAGTATGAGTGTGTGGACATGGGGGGTGAATGAAAAGCCACGGGGCTGGTTCTTTGTTGTTGTGTTAAAACTGAAAGCTTGAAAATATAAATACTTTCCCAATTAAGCTATAATCACAGAGGGGAGGAGGGGAATCATCATCAATGTCTGGTTTCAGAAAACGAAACTAAAAAGCCAGATTATGAAATGTTACAAAAGTAAGAAACACACAGCTTGCTATATGACTTGCAGAGCGCTGTTAAAATATTGTACCTATCACTGCACATTCTGGGATTAAAAGAAAAAAAGGGGGAAATACCTATTGTATCTTTTCCAGTAGATTTCTCTGATCCAGAAAGGTTAACAAGTACCACACCACCAATGCTAGCAAAAAAGAAGAAATGCAAAACGCTACTTAGACACAATACATTTTTATGAAGGAAAAATAAAAGGAGAGAACAGTATCAAAATAGACTACTATCTTTAGGTATTTTTAGTTCACCAAAACCCACTTCTGAAAAAGCCAAAAGGAGTTTTCTATTGCTAAGGCCTGATCCTAAGTTAAAATCCAACAAAACCCACTTCTAACCTCTCTGAACAACACACTGTGCATTCAATGAAACAAGATGACAACAATGAATGCCAAGCCTCTTCCTTTTTCCCCATCTACACAAAACCACAAAAAACATCGTTAAAGAACAAGAAAGTAAGTTCACATAATTCCAACAGAAACTTGATTAATCTGATTTCCTGTAGGAGCATGAGATTCAGTAGTTGTTTATGATATGAAGTATTTAAAGAGACCTTATTATAAACTAAAGCATATAAAATACTATCATAGATACTACAGATACAGTTATCTTCTCACTGTATCAGAGTTTTTGAATAAGTGTTACACCCCATGATCTTACCTTAAAATGACAGCTAGTAATTTGGACAGGGTAAACCTATCTCCACTGTTACTGGGAAAGACTGCAGCTAAGATTAAAGTAAAAAGCCCTGCAAGAGAAATTAGGAGTTTATACAATGAAGTTCTGCTACTAGTTTGTTCAGAAGACTGCACAGACATTTGCTTCTCTATATTTCACAATTGTTTTAACCACTTGATCTCAACATCCATAATTTTAATCGAAACTAGCACCTTGTGATGCAAGTCCTCAAGTGAGCAAGTACATGCTCAACTTTGAGAAAGGCCAAACATACTAAAAATAAACAGCAAGAAGCCTGAAAAGTCAGTGGAATAAAAACCAATCACTGTGCTTTTAAAACTAATTTTATTAAACAACAAAATTAAAAACCCCCAAAACACTGACTGGCACATAATTCAAATACTTTAAAGTTCATATTAGAGCCTTTCCTAAGTAAGCCAGTGATATATGCATAATATTTAGGTGGTTTAAGTTATCTACCCCAAAACCATTTTTTAAAAAAGCAATCATTGTCAAGAAAACTTTTCTTATCAAAATAGATACCATGCAGAGTAGTTTTACCACCTTTCCTTCAAATCTATTATACTGCTAAGATAGCTCTTTACTACAGAGACATTACTACAGAAGTACACACACACACACAAACTTGAAAAGCAAAAAAGTAGGGGAAACATGAAGATAGCTTAAACCCCTGCAATTATGTAATAGAAATTTTTAAATGCACACATTCAATTGCTTTAAGCCTTATGGTTTCCCCTAAAACGACAGGTAAGTCATTACAAAAGGCCATTGTAACCAAAATTATTATTGTGTGATAAGTATCCATATAATGCACATCTGCTAGTGTAAATAAACTTACCAGAGGTTGAAGACAAGATATTAACTATGGCAACCTGGGTATCTGACAGAGCTTCTTGGTAAGAGAAATTTGCCAAGAACCACTGGGGGAAAAGAAAAATAATTTTGTGGTCATATGGATAGCAAGAGCAGAGTTTTAAGTTTATCAGTACAATTAAATCCTAGTTTAAGAAAAAAAACCCCACAAACAAAAAAACCCAACTATTTGTCCAAAACCAAAATTAGAAGAAGACTTTTACCTCAAATAGATTAGTAACTTCAATTAAAGTGGCAGTTATGTTAAAAGACAAAGGCAAAATCAGAACTGGCCCAAACCAACCAGATTCAACTATGTGTTTAATTCTAAAATAACCTACTTCAGAACTTAAACAGTTACTTCTTGAACAGCTATTACTGATCTGCCCTCTACATTTTTCACCATCTCCAAAATCCTGCCACCATTAACTGTCTCCCTCTAGAACTGAGAAACGGTGCAGAAGCACCAGTAACCAACACATCTTTTAAGTAAATCTTGCAGCCTTCCAGGGAGCTGAAAGACAATTAACTATCTTCTCTTCATACTACTGGAGGGCACAATGCCACAGTGAGGAATAAGATGATGCTCTTTCTGTGATGGCCCAGAAAGAAGCCATACTGGTATTTACCCATTCTATGCAGTCTCACTGCAGCTGTTAATAGCCTGTGTACATACAATCCCAGGTTTTGCTGTACCAAACATACCCAACATTAGAAAACATGGCATAAAAACATGGTGTATATTACAACTAACCTTACAGTTAACAACACACCCAGGATCTCCGTTTATTACCCTTTCAAGAATTTGCACTTTCTTGTCCAGCACATGAAGGTTTTACTTTTTACAGTATATTCATCAAATAATGAATAAAGAATACAAGTAATCTTAATACTTTTATTATACAAGTTTTAATTGCATCTATACTTAAGTTTTCTGAAAGAATGGAACACATACCACAAAGCAAAAGAAAAAGCTAATTTTTGCTACTTGAGTTGCAGTGAGTTTTCCTACAGTTTTTAATAGTGATTCCTGCTCCTTAATCGTTGGGTATGACATACGAGACAACTTTGCTTCCAAGGCGTGGCTCGATGGGAGCTGTCGGATCTCCATAATATTACTGAACCTTACACGAGGCTTTTTGAGAGCTTAAGAAAAGAGGAAAAGAAAAAAAAAGGGAAAAAAATGCTACATATTATCATTAAACTTTTCAAGCCAACACAACGTGCAAATTAAGCGATGATGTTCTAATGCGGCATTGATTATAATACTTCACCAATGATAGGTTTTGATCCAAACAGAAGACATGCCATTATTTGTATTATTAAACTAGTGTTTTGCTATTTGATAGGTCACTAAGACAAAGCACAATTATTGGTTTCAATCAGTACAGTTGTTCATCCACAAAACCTTATTGAAAAGCACTATTCTTCCTCTCTGTCAAAAAAGTCCTCATAAAGTAACCACAAATTCTTAGGTAGGAATTACTCTGCATTAATAAATATCACATATAAGATTTTCTTTCATTTTCTAATAGCCAAACAGCCAAAAATTGCACACAACTATCTATATCTAACTGCAAGGACAGTGTTTCATTCAGAGGCTCAGTATCCAACAGACCTCAAAGCTTATCAAAGATTATAAAGTCATTTGCTTATTTGAAATCCACCCTCTAAATAATCTTTCAAACCAGGATCTTATTTCTGTAGGTATTATAAGCATAATTAGTTTCCTGTGTGAAGAAAACATTACACAGTACATATAAATATTAGCCTAATGCAACATGAAACAATACCTAATTTCCTAAAAAAGTAAAGAGAAAAGCTACAGCTCAAACAACCCTGAGGTGATTGGTACACATTATCACAGGACAGCAGAGCCTTCTGAAGTGGTTCTGCACGTGTGCGATCTAGAAATTAACAGATACTTTCCCTTTTAAAAGCAGGGACTCTTGCTGAGGATCAGATAACTGGATTCTCTGACAGACAACTTTTCTGTAATTGTCTGGAACAGTCAGGCCAGTTTCAGCTACTATCACAAGATAGTGAGGCTTAAATAAAATCAGAGAGCACATAGACTGTTAAAGTTCTTACTTTGACTGCTTTGCTCCTGCTCTAAAAAGGACAATAGCTTGTTTTTCCAGAGGCTGACTCACTGCTGCTGGTCATACAAGCCCAGAAGGAAAGAATCACAAGTACTGAACCCAGTTGGTCCCTTGAGATAAACATAGGCTGGATCTGTAGTGACCAAGAAAGGTAAACTGAACAATAGGCCTATGTTTTCTCTATCTGAAAGTAAATATATAAAAGACTGCAATTCATGCAATAAGAGATTTAAGGAAGAAAAAGAAAAAAGGAGGGGGGGGAAGTCCTGAAACATTACAGCAGTTATACCAACAAAGAGGTAAGTAATTCATTCACCAAGGAACTAGCACTTCAGCATTCCGAAAGTCTTTACTCACTTTTCTCTGCATCACTATTATTACTGCCATTTTTTTCAGTTGGCAAATCATGAAACTTTACAGGAACATATAAAGGTTCACTCTGAAACAAATCGGTATAAGTAAAAATATAGTTAAGCAGGATATTTAAAATATAAGCAGTAGAATTAATGTAGCAAATTAGAAAATTAAAGAAAAACTTAGTGAATATTAAGAGAATCAAATTTAACAAAGTTATTTTGCACACAGTGGATATGCTTGTAAAAAATGTCCATACATAATTTATGGTTTATGTTAAACATATAGGTAAGATGCAATATTAAAAAATAACTGTGCACTTTTATATACATCCTCATGAACAGAAAACTCATCCCTAGAAAACTCAAACCTACTGATTTAAAACTAAAATATAACTCACAAAAATCACTGTCATTTCATTAGATCTAAAGCTTTCTGACCAATGCTAAACATAAAACAGAGAATACATATATATAAATGAATACATACTAATTTTTCTCCCATGACTCTAAAAGCTCATGAACTAAAACTGGAAGTCAAAATAATTTCTGAAAGGCACTTAGCAGCAGTTTTAATTACTTAAAATACTTCTGACAAGACAATTTTTAAGCTGCTTGCTTAAATTAAATATAAGAACAAAATAATGAAAGATCTGGTTGCTGTATTTTCATCAGGCTCCTTTTTTAGGACCAGAATTTTTGTCAATATTTAAGCTGAGGCAAAATTGTCCAAGGTTGACAATGAACTCTGCTTCTAGAATCAGATGATCTAAATGAATTGAACAGACTAAGACTTTATTCTTAAGTGTAGATAAAGTGGGGGGAAAAAAAAAAATCACAAAGAATAAAATTAAAAAATACTTCTAAAAATACCTCTTCAACTCCTTATTCAATACAAAATACCCCATGTCTATTCCAGGGATGGTGCAAACTTTAAAAGTTTTGTGTTTTGGATACATTCCTGCATGTGGCCTCTGATTTAGGTATGCAGATTAAGCAGCAATCTGTGATCAACATGGGCACGACAAGCAATCACTTATGGATGATGAAAATCACCACAGAAATGCCATCTGGCAATGCAGCTTATCAGGAGAGTAACAATACTGACATTGAATTCAGTTAACAGTAGTCACTGTCCACTGGAAGGAAGAAAGCAGTCCACTTCTCTTCCAAAATGCAATGCAGGATAACAGTGTACAAGACACTCATGAACTCAATTATTCTGTTGGTGTATTTTAGTCTTGAAAACTGTTTGGCTTTATCACTAGCTCTCCACATTCTGCTGTGGCAGCTACTGAGCTGAATATGTAAAGGTTTCCTCTGCACAGCAAACATTTCTTATCAAACTACTACAGAAATATTCAAGTGTTCTATTAAGCTGAGAACCTGTATTTCTCATAATAAGCAGTTATTGTTTGCAGCACTTATTAGTAACATCTAAGTTACCAATCCCCTTAGCCAAAAACTATTACATTTAAAACTGCCATATTTTTCAAACATTAAGTCAGGATAATGGTGTCATGTTACTATAAAGCATTGACCTTCACAAATCAAGGCACTCACCAGAGAACTGTTTACAGTGTTGTCTGTTGTACAAGCAGCAAAATAACCTTCAGCATCTGCAAACTAATTACAGAATAACCTTAAATGTAACAATCTACCAAGGCAGAGTTGCCAATAACTGAGGTTTCTTATACTAAGATTTTTAAAGCATTTTTATAATTCTATCACAATTCCCACTCTCCCTCCAGCCCTTTTCCCCAATAAACAAGAGGGGTTACAATTCTAGTAAATAATTTCAGTAATTCCTTGTACCTCTTGGGAGAGCCTCACTAAACAACAACCCAGGTATCAATGCAGGACCAGGCTGTTGGAATGCCAAAACCTGTAGAGTTCAGTCTTAGCGAGACACGCTTCACTAAATTATTGTGCATGTATTAACAACAAGCCTCTTGTTCCTTCATTTTATTGAGGCAAAGTTCCTTTGTATAAAAAACCTGGAACTCGGCCGTACTTTTAACAGGGCTTAAATTAGGATGAGGTCAATTATAATTTTTTCCTCTTCCTTTCTGCATCTTAATAAGTATTACTAGTCCTGTTCCCTGACCTGCAGCTTGCTGTTCTACCATTCTGGTAAGTAATAAAGCAAAGCCCTAATATGGAAGAGGACTTAAAAGTAAGGTGTGTTTACCCATGCAATCATTATGGACATAAAAATCTATAAATGTATAGACTTTGTTCCAGATTAATAGACACAAGACATTTTAAAGGCACTTTTAAAAATTATACAGTTGACCATTTAACTAAACTCCTTGGGGAAGGTGGGAGTATCTTCTTACTGCACACTTCAGTCCTGTCTCTGCCCTGTTCTTTCAGAATATGTTAACAAAAACTAATGGCTCTCTCCTACAAGTTATTTTTTTAAGTTACTTTTCATAGGATTTTAAAGAACAAAACAACAAGATTCCAATAGCAGTGCTGTAAGTGCCACAAAGGTGACAGATTGAGCACTCTCACCCATTGCTGATGGGTTCCTATGAGTTCATAGTACCTCTCCTTGCCATTGCACTGCCTGAGATTCAGCTGGTCAATGTAATCACTACCGTTGTCACAAGGCAACAGCCCTTTATTCTACTCATCTGCTCAGATTAATAAATTTGATCAGTATAATTGCTCTGTACAACTAATTATCCTTTAGTGCTCTCATCATCCTTATTTGTCATTACTGCCAGTAAAGAATCTGTAGGTTTTGTTTATTTCCTGATTATCTTATGAAGACCCTGCACAGCATCTAGTCTAACATGAACCATACTACGCACAAACATTCGCTAGTAAAGGCCAATCTACTAAAAATCATTTCAAGATATCAGCCAAGTCCAAATGTTCTATAGATTTAACACAGGGTTTAAAAACAAAACATTTAGGGTTTTTTGTTTTGTGATGTTTTAATTTTTAAAAAAATAAAAATAATTTGGCTTAATGTCATGTAACACTTAAGTTATTTAAGTTATGTTACAACTGTCACTATCAGTCACGTCTAATATGTCCAGAAGAACTCGAGTTAATTCCTTTCAAGCTATTTTCTATAAAGGTATGTTTATTAACAGCATGTTCTTGGTTTCCATGTTCTGTTATTTTAATGCATTATTAATATCAGGCCAAATGCCTTACTGCTTCCTGAGTCCTGCTGTTCAGCATTCTGAAACACTGGCACAAAACAAGCACTCTTCCTGGCATCTCTAATGTCCTTGGGAAAAAAGTACATGTTTCTGTAATATGGCAATAATTCTAGACTCCAGCACAAACTATGCCCAGTTCTAGAATGGGCAATAAAAAGTCAGTCATGCAAAAAAGCTATAAAAATAAAATATTGTCAATGACAAGAACATAAACCTATCACCTTTCCTAAACATGACTTTAAAAGTCTCTTAGTGAATAGTTCATAGTTCTGCCAGAAACAAAAAGAGTCAATAATAAAAATCAAACACAAATTTAAAATACTGATTTAATTGATTCCAGATGCTGGCAAGTAAAAGAGAACCAAAAACCAAGAGTGGTGATGCTCACCAGCTCTTCTTTAAAATAATTATCCACTGCAACTGTCCAAGATAAAATACCAAGCTAGGCAGGCCAATGGTCTGGCCCAGCAGAGCATTTCTGATTCCTGACATATTTCACATTGCTTTTTCCTTTCTTTTCTTCCTCTCACAAGAATACAATTATGATTGCCATGCCTTCCTACTCCATGACTGAGTTTATAACTTCATTTCTGAAAACATTATTTCACAAATATGTAAACTCTGCCATTCTCTAGTTTCTATTTTAAGTTTCTTCTGTACAAACTTCAACAATGACCAAAACATTTATAAAATTAAAATACTCACAAAAGCTGCATGTCTTCCACGAAACCCACGAGTACACTGTTGCCTCCACGGTTTCCAAACAATAAATCCCAAGAGGTATAGAACAAACATGGATGTTTTTGCAAATGTACTGAAAAAAGGTTTGTTGTACTTTGTAAAAACATACTGTGGAAAGAAAATAATTGCAGTATCCAAAATTACCAATTAAGTGAGAATTCACAAAATTAATGAACAGGTTTACATAGTCCAGAACAGCCTGGTTCCCAGAATAACAATGCTGAGTATTGGCATGTGGGACTAAACACAGAAGCGGCCACTACCTATTCTGGGGGTACCCTCTTCCAAGCTCTCTTAAGTGGCAACAAGAAGGCACCAAGCCATTTTCTAAGATACAATGTCACCAGCGAAAAGCTACTTATACTTGTGTCTAGCCAAGCCACACACTGATAGGCCACTGGACTCACAGAGGACTGAAAATACACTCACATACAAATATTTTCTGAATGAAAGACTGTTTTTATAAGCAGCAGCATAGTAATCACAAATGAGAGAATATTACTTTTAACATTTCAGTCTCAATAGTAATTTTACCAGCTCACTGGAAAAAATTATATGCCTATAATAGCACGTTAAGCACATTTTATATGCTTAGTTTCAAAACTGATTTGGAAAATAGCAACTTAATGATAATTCAGAAATCTGAATTTGACAAGAATTTTTTAAAAACGCAATTTCCATTCCTAAAAACTCTATTTTAAGTCCTAAAAACTTAACATCAAGTAAATACCGATCAGTCTCAAGATGGTGAATGTATGAACTGATTATGACAAACCTGTCTGCAATTACAGGGCTTAACTCCATGACTCGAGTCCTTTGGTCCTCGTTCTGGACTATAAGCTACCATACCACCTAGCCTGCAATGGTATGGCTCATTTACTGCTTCTCAGGAAACATTCAAGCATTATTTTTATCAATATGGCAATAAACAAAGTGAACTCCCTAATTACATAGTTATGAGCTTCTCTTGTTTAATTTTAAAGTCATCAACTTGAAATCAACAGTCACCACGTTGTGCTTATTAATAACTTTTAGTGGATCCTAGTTAGTTCACCAACATAAAGGACACCATCACTGGAAAGGTGACTGAACTGTGCTCACCGAGTGTTTGAGTGACCACATTTCTGCTGTCTCTCTCTCAAATAAGCTTTTCTTTTCCATTTAAGGTGCATGGAACAATACTTACAGAAGTGAGTTCTGAAGAGGCAACCCATATCACATCAACAAGGAGAAGAATGACAATTCCTAGAGCCATTCGCCTACGCTGAGTGGATGAACTGCTCTGGGAGCTCATTCGATTCATGACAAAAACCCACACCATTTGTAACCTATTCAAGATTGATAAAGAAACAAAATCCAAAAGATTATAAATTGTGACAAAAAACCAAACCAAACGAACAACAACAACAACAACAGGGGGTCAAGAGTTTACTCTGTATGAAATGGACCAAATATGCCATGAAACATGCTTATATTTGCTAAAAAGTGGATCTTTCACAGATTGGCATGAGATTGTGAGAGACATTAGGTGCAATTTGAATACATTAAACTTTTCAGGAATTTATCAACTGTTCTACCACTGAAGTAAGCAAAAGCAGACAACATACACAATGCCCTTCTGGAATTTCTGTGCTACAAATTCTGCAAAATTTGAAACCATTAAGTTTTGGTAAATTGAGATACTCTGACAACAGGAGTTATTTTAATGTTGTGTTGAATATAATTTTAATACAGGTAGTTGTAAACATGTTTAAACTTAAGCATTTAACAAATATTTCCGAAGAATAGCAACACATTTGGGTAAATGATAAGACTTCAAAGTAATTCAAGAAAAAAACAACAACAACAACAACAGAAACACCAACCCCACAACAAACCTAAGGAATATTTCACTGAAAACTTAAAAAAATAAATTACACAAGTGCTTGAACCCAGGAGATTTATACATCTATTTGGCAGTTTATGAAATAGAGGTTTTCACTAGAATTGGTACATGCCTATCAAAATAAGAGTAAGCATACAAATATATGCAAGAGAAAGCTTTACCTATTAAAAAACCCAAAACATTCAGAATTATTTTGACTGTGCCTCAGTATAGGAACAATTAATTAAGAACACTTCATATTCTAAGAAATCAAAACTACAGCAGTAAACTAGCTTTTAAGCTTGTAATCTAGTACAAAAGTCATGCAGATTTCCCAGAAATTACAATAAAGAGAAGTTCAGATTTTGACACAAACAAACCTATTTTCTTTTTCATGTACACACCTCACAACTTTGAGAAGTCTCTGTTCAAGGTAGCAATAGAAAGATCTCAACTTAAGCAATTCTGGTAAATTATCAGAAAAGCACAGCTGGGTTTAAATGCTTATAGCCAGCTGCTTAAGAGTTGACCACTCAACAGAAAATTCTTTCTGAAGATACAGCTTGAGCTGCAAAAATTGGTATTAGGAAGAAGACTATTTGCAGTTAAAACATTAACATTTATGCAGGAGATGAACACTGCAGCAGTGCATAAACAGATCATGATCAAGCTTCTTTCTTCTCCTTCAGCAGGCAGAGTACTTCTGCTTTATTCAATGCACAGAGTAAACAGAAGGAAACAGAACTGATATTGTTCAGGTTGGCCAAGTAAGTGGTACATTGTGACTTTAGAGGGCTTGACTTTGCACAGCTTGCACTGAAAGCAAGTATTAACACTAAAGTAATGTTAAGACACCACTAAAGTACTTTAAAAAAAAAAAAAAAGCAAATGAGCTTTTAAAAACATTGCTCATGTTTTAACTCCAAAAAAATTACAAGATTGACTGGGCCTACTCCAAACAAGTGCTGATCATGAGTATACCAGACTTACATGCACTCTTACATCTTCTTATGCTACTAGAAGTTGATTCCTATTTGTACAACTGCCCATTTAGACTTAAATTTAGAAAAACTTTAAATTGTATTATTAAAAAGCTTCAAATACAAGTGACAAGAGACTGATGTCTCGTTCATCAACCTACTCATACTAGAGTCTTTTAAATGTTTTCTAATGAACCTCAGTAAGATACACATACTGATTCTGATTCCTATTAACTTTTTATAGATGTATTTTAAGAAGAAATTATGAGTTAATTTGGTACAGATTACATAACAACTCTTGCTATTTATTATAACAAACTCAAATACTCAAAATCTTTGAGAGAACTCCTTAAGGAACTGAAATCCAATTCACCTTTATGGATCAAATATTAACTTGCAGCAAATAGAGGTGATCTGCTTTGCTAATGCAGTTCCGCGAATGTAAATGACACTGTTTTTTTCCACACATATCAACATACAAACACTTACTGTCTTTTAATTATTTACAAATTATTTACAAAGGAGACAGTGTCACAGTATCTTCAGTCAGGAAGCTACATGGTTTCTTTTTTCCAGACTAGCCTATTCCTCAGATTAATCATTTAAATGCATGAATAGGCACAAGGGCACTTGAGATCACTACACTGTTTCACACCTTTGACTCATGCTTCCCCTTTGCAATGAAGCCTCTGCCATGTTCAAACCTTGCCACTCTTTCATCCGTTTTTCAAAGGACTTCTTTGCAAAGAAAAATCAACAGGCAAAGCTCCTGAAGTATAATTATACCACTAGATTTATGGTGATATATTCCATGTGTGGGCATTAGTACTGGATAAGTATTCTGCTTTTCTGATAAAAAGATGGGATTGACAGAGAAAGCAGAAGTCTTTAAGTAAGGAGGGGGAAAATTGTTAAAGACTCAGCAAGGAACAGCAGCTTTTGTTTGATGCAGAATAAAGGAGAAAACATTTCTTTCTCGAATAGAGAATAAATAGTATCTTAAACCTGAGTAAGCAACAGAAAGGGTTTTGTGCTTGAAAGCTTATAAGGGTATTTTCAGTTTTTATTAATTGGTCTAACAGATATGTATTATGCTCCACAAACTTTGGCTTTATTTTGTTGTGACTAATAGCTTACAGCCATCATATTACCTTACATACAGACTAGAAAATGCTTATGGGTTTGCATAATATACATCAGAAATGGAAGCTGAGCATAAAAAGAGTTCCAAAGGAGCTAGAAGGAAGACATCTCATTCCTTGTCAGGCTACAGTATGCCACATGAACAGTGGTAAGGTGCACTAGAAATGGGAACCACTCCAGCCTTTCACCAGTGACATTCTGCAGGTAGGAGGGGAAGAGGAGGGGAAGAGGTAGCTGGAGACAGGAAGGAACGGCAGTAACCTGATCAATTTGACATCTCCACTCCACAGGCTCACATCCCTAGCTCTTCCGTTCTCACCACAAACTGCTTCGAAGCACAGAGCAGGTGCACACTGTGTAGCTCCTTGATGTCCTACACAACTTGTCTACATTAGGCTTGTACAAATCCCTTGCTTTAAGATCCCTTAGCAGGAGGAAATAAAGGATGCTGGAGTATCCAGTACTTCTTTGAAAAGAGGTTGCATATGAAGTTATTCAGATGATAAGTACATGATACACTGTTTCTTTTCTACCTATAAGCAGATTTTAAAATTCTAATTAAAGAGCCCATGCTTACGTCTTAAAGTTTTTTATATGTTTCAGTAATAGCTGCTACTACATCTTCATCTGACTTTAAAGTGTCTGTTTAACATTTCTGTGTGCCTAATATAGCCCTTTGCTTGGTTCTTCCCTAACACGGAAAGAAGCTTAACAAGGAAGGACGACTACAAAGTCTTCATCATGTAGCAAGATGTACCTTCAAGCTAGTATCTGACTAAAAAAGTTACAAAGCAGATAAACATTTTAGTATTGCATATTCAGCAGAAAAACAGAGCCTTACTGAAACTTATACATTAAGCTTTAGGGCAGAATTAAAGCCTGTAAAACATGACCCAGAATGCAAGGACAGATAGCAAGTATTTTGAGACATCAGAGACAGACACATTATCCTAGTAATTGACAAAGCACTAGGATGGATGTGTGAACTTGTAAGAAACCCAATTCCACACATTTCTTTGTATTTGGCTTCTGTACATTGACAACAACATGCTCTGACAAAAACGAACACAGAGCAAACATACCTACCTTCCACTGGTAACTGTAAAAACAAAGAAAAAAATGCTAACAAACTTCACACATCATGTCAAAGTGAAGACAGTCTCCTAAGAAGAAAAAAAAGTCAAAGTTTGAAAATTTGCATACGTATGTATATTAACCACTTATATTTGCAAAACATTTTCTCTAATTGCAAGATCAACAAGTGTCAGTCACAGCTCAAGTTTTAAATGTTAGAGACATGCAGATATAGAACCTTCAGAACCAGTACACATCAAAAATACTAGCAGAACAGCACTGAAGTGCAAGAAAACAGCACTGTTTACTGGTTTGGATATTTCAATAAATGTAATACCTTCCTTATTAATCAAATACAAGAGGCTCACGTGAGAAGGAAGAAGCTGGTGACGCTCAGTTCTAAATGTTTACACTATGCAGAGAAAGACTGTGTGGGGCTCTGAGCAACCTGGACTAGTGGAAGGTAACCCTGCCCATGGCAGGGGGGGTGGAACTAGATGATCTTTAAGGTCCCTTCCAATTCTATGATCTTCCCACAATTTGAACAAGTATTATTACTGCATAAAAAAATGTAAAAAACCTACATTTTTATTTTAAATTCCGATACTATAAAGACATTCAGCAACACCCACTTTCAAATTGTAATATAAGAAAAGAAACATTATACATAGGGGACGTGAGTAAAAGTGTTATACTACACTAATGAGAAGCCCATCTAACCTGCAAATATTTGCAAATTCAGATGTTGGCAAGTATATGGTGCTCCAAAAGAAGGCACAACAAACCTGGAACTGACAACCCAGAATAATAAAGGCATAAGTTTTATTGCCTGGAAGTGCTGGGATTTTTTTTTTCTTTTCTTATTCATGTGAAACCTTGCTAAGCTCTGGTTTGGGCATATCAACAGCAACACTAAGAGAAAGATAAAATTCAGTTGCTCACTTTCAGCCCCTACTTAATCCATACTAATTATACTAAAGTAACCAGGTGCAGAACTTGCACCTAAATTTGGTTATTATGCAAGGTATGTACCTTACCCTCTGTCAGCACCTAAGATCTGCTGTGGGCTGACTGGAGCTGATTACACAGAACACTATTGAATGCTTATTATCCATTTCAGGATAAGGATGAAAATGTAGCATATATTAATATAACATCTGACGCCTAAAATGAGAACTCTACAAGACACTTCTCTAGAAGAGCACGACTTCACTCTTGCAAAACATTAAATGAGTCAAGTGCATAGAGTTATGACAGTTTTAAGCCACCAGAAGACATAAAAGGCTGAAATTGAAATGATGGTTTAAAAGTAAATACAATATTCTGCCCTATTAAATATAACAGAAACTTCAGTGTATGTTTGCTTTTCATTTCCATTATTAGGATACAGAAGTTATACCATGTGAAAAGCATATTTAATATTCCAGTTGAAATTTGACATTTGAAGGAATAGTAATTTAAAAGGCATTTCTCAATATCATTATAATTTTCAACAAATAGCAGTCTTTTTCATTTACCATTTAGCAGTGTTAGAGTTGCCATCTTGCAGAAACATTTTCCAGCCAGTTACATGAAGATCTTCTGCAAAAAGAAACATAAAAAAGTAACTTTTCCTGTCACAACACTATTTTGTTTTTAAAATGCTAGTGCCCTAGATCATGTAAGCTGAGTCACCACCATAACTGATAACACAAAAAAGATAAGAAATGGTCTCACTATGTAGGTTATAACATATTCTCTCCTAGGTAATGACTCAAAAGGCAACAGGCTCAGGAGCCCATCCAGTTCTACTGTCCTGAATGTGCATTTGACTTCTCAGGACAGGCTGTATAACTCCACCATTGGAACCTTATTTCTATAGCACTAAATGTTTCTTTGTGCAGATAACTTTTTGCATAGTCAAAGTTCTACCCTAAAAGGAAAAGTCATGTGAAGTTCACAAAATGAGAAATAACTTGTATGGCATTGACATTAGGGAAGAGAACATTATGAGTAGCACTGCTAGATTCTTGCAAAACAGAAGTATTGCCTCTAGCTGTCCTAAGAGGAAGACACCCCCAAAAAAAGTACAACATAACAAGAGACCCAGAACAGCAGTTCAATCACAAACCGTGGTGCAAGTCAACTTGAAATTATTCCTTGTATTTACTCAAGATTATTTTAAACACAATTTGAAAGATAACATACCAAGATAAGGCTTGCACACTGAACACTTTTAGTTTTTCCAGTTATACTGGCTGCTCCAATAATACAAGTTCTGGGACACAAACCACCCCCTTTCCTGTAACATGTACTGTCATCAGGTGATTCTCATTTCATATTCGATTACTTTCAAGGTAAGATGAACAGAGACACTGCTTTAATTCCAGACAGAAAAGAGCTGAAAGTAAATTGATGGACATATTATAATTCTGAAAATGTACGTTAAAGTAACATTAATACAACTCTGACCTCTTCTCAGCTTTCAAGGGTATCACAGTAAGGGAGGAAAAGCAAGAATCTTCAGAGGAGATGAGAAGGTAAGCCTTATACAACATGACAATTATATTCACTACAGCCTTATAATCTTTACTGAAGGAAAGTTTCCTGTATAGCCTGTAGGCTATAGTAAAGCACAAGACAAAAAAAAGAAACTGAAACCAAGTTTTTCATGTCAGTACCAAGTACTGCAAGTAGAGCTCACCATTCCTAGCTAAATAAAAAGTTATACAAGACCAAAGTTTGAACAGAAATCACACTAATATTAGTACCAAGAAAAGGGAGAATTTAGCCTCCCAGATAGAGATGTTTCAGGAAGCTGGCAGTACACAACAGTCAAACTGCCATGACACAGCTGGATTCTGGTACCTAAGGAACGACTGAAAGTTTCCTACTCAGTAGTTACTTAAAATTTGCTATTTTAAACAGATAGCAATAGACACAGAATACTAATTTATTGCATGCTTTGGAGTCTTTACCAAAGCTAGCAGAGTATCTAACAACATACTTCTCAGGTTCATTCTCACTTCATCCCAGCATGACTACAACCCAGCTGGGCACGAAGATCTGTGACCACACAAAGTCAGAAACACACTCGTTTCTAGTAAGCAGAATGGAAGCTGGCAAGTGGAATTGACATTGCCCTCCTTAAGCTTTTCCAACAACACCAGAAGAAAAACTTAATATCAAGCTGCCAAGGCCTCTTTAAGGGTTACCACACATAGAGCAACCTCTACACATGCAATATTGGCTAAGAATTACAAGTCATATCCATTTCACATTCTATCCGTCTAATCTTGTCTGGTGCAAGATCTAAACATACCACGCTTTGTCACAGGACCAACAGCCACAGACAGATAACAAGCACAGCAGCCTTCACAACTGCATGTCACTCCTGTATCTGAAAGCTCAGCCTTCCAGGCATGCTAGAAATCTGCAAAATCACCGCGTTCAGAAACGTGCTTGCGAGCGAAGGGGGGGTCTTCTTTTTCCTGCCTGCCGACAGGGACCTTTGGGGAAAGGCAGGAAAGGGAAGGAAACAAGTAAAACTCCTTAATACACTCAGAAAACTGGAAGCCTGAGGAGAAAGAAACATGACTCAAGCCCCGGGGATCAGACAGGAGGAAGAATGAGGACCCGTTTCGCGCTGGCACGTAGAACTAACAGGGGAGATGTCAGGGGGAGAGGGAGAGCAGAGACCCAGCAGGGAGAAGCAGCAACCTCGAGCCCGCCACCTGCCAGCTCGCCCCGGGGAAAGCCGAATCCCCCCTTCGCCCACATCCCCCGTCCCTGGGCAGGCCGGGTGTGCCTGAGGGAGGCAAAGAGCCTCCCGCAATCCCGCTAACAGAGCCGTGCGCGGGACGGGGCCGAGGAAGGGGCGTCACACGCTCCCTCCGACCCC